GCAGTGGTGGCACAAGCCATTAATCCCATTAATCCCAGCACTCCACAGGCAGAGGCAGGCAGATCTCTGTGAGTTCGAGACCAAGCTGGTCTACAAAAGCTAGTTCCAGGACAGGCTCCAGGCTCCAAAACCACAGAGAATCTCTGTCTCGAAAAACCAAAATGAAATAAAATAACAATAAAAAAAGAAGAAGGAGGAGGAGGAAGAGGAGGAGGCCTAGTTAGAGGGAGAGGAATGGAGGGGGAGAGCAATAAAAGTTATGTTGATAGGGAGCCATTATGGGGTTAGGAAGAAACCTGGTTAGAGAAATTCTCAAGAGTCCACAAGGATGATCCCAGCTAAGATTCCTAGCAATAGTGGAGAGGGTGTTTGAAAGGGCCTTCCTCTTTAATCAGATTAGTGACTACCTTAATTGTCATCATAAAACCTACATCCAGTAACTGATGACAACAGATGCAATAACCCACAGTCAAGCACTGGGCTGAGCTCCTGGAGTTCAGTTGAGGGGAAGTGGGGGTTCATACTCTCTCTTATAAGTTCAACTCCTCTTCCGAATACCCCTCCTCTGCTTCCATGCCATATGAATTCTGTTATCCTCCCTTTCATCACTTCCTAAATCCCTTAAGATCTTAAGATATCTTTCTTCTGTCTCACGCTCTCCTTTTTACACACACACACACACACACACTCGAGAAAACATATTTGGATTTCTGAGTATAGTTTATTGTTAATTCCATTCATTTTCTTGCAAATGTCAGGCTATCAGTTTTCTTTATGGCTAAACAATCTATTGTGTATAAATATCACACTTTATACTTTTATCTGTTGATAGAAGACTAAGCTGATTCTAACACCTATATAGAAAATAAATGCTTGACTCTTAAGGCTATTTTATACAGTTTGACTTAGGCTGACCCAGAAACCTTAGTAACTGGGCCAAAGATAGTACGGATTTAAGATTTAAAAAAAAAATCAGTCTTCAAAGCCTTAATATAAAGCCTTAGTCATTATAGTATGCCATAGGTACGATATTATTTTATGAGGGCAGCCAAGTAAGTCTTTACAATGAATTTGTATGTTAAAATGTGCAATAAAGCAAAGGCCACAAGATTGCTTGAGTAACTAAATTGTTTGGTTTATGATTTGACTCTGTTCTTACTAAGAATTCCTTTCGACTAAGTTTCCTTGTATCCATATCTGTATTGGAGAATAAGTTCGGCAGGCATCTAGCACTCTTGTTTCTGTTTGTTTTTGTCTTTAAGTAGGGGAGTGTATTTTCTTTGGGGCAAGATGTGAATGAAGGCTAAGAGGTTAGAAAATAATTAGGGGAGATAAGTTTGACTTTACATAATTTTGGAGTCAACCCTCCAAAACCATTTTAGACCTTGAGAAGTATAAAGGTAGTAATTATTTATTCTCAAAAGAAAAATCATGAAGGTACAAAAGATGTATAACAACTAGAATATTATAAGGTCTCATGATTTCCATATTAGATTTGGATAGGGCTAAACTTTAATCCTGGCTCTGGAATTTATTAGTTGTGTGACCTTGGGGATGAATGAATGTCATTCATTGTAGTACATTGTGAAGACAGAATAAAGTGTGAAGTGTTCAGCATGGTCCATGATACGAACTGCAGAAGCAACTCATGTCCACTAATGTATAGACAAAGCATAGTGTGTAGATTGCAGTATCAACCATCCTTTAAAAAGGAAGGAATTTTAGCATGTGCTGTTTGTTACATGGATAAACCTGGAAGATTCTGTACTAGGAAAACTAGCCAGACACAAAATAACAGGTTTGTAAGAAATAGATAGTCTAAAGCAGAAACTTAATGATTGTAAGGGATGCCAGCTGGAAGGAGTGGAGATGTTTGTTGAATGGACATAGAGTTTTTGTTTTGAAGGATAACTTTTGCACAGCTATATGAAGAGACATAATAAGGAACTATTTGATTAAGATGATTGGGATGGTAATTTTTGTGCATTATTCTACAATAAATAACAGCTCTAGTATTAAAGTAATTTTTACCCATTAGTCTGTCAAAAATAAGTTATCACATGGGTATTTTTATATCTTTCCTCATTTGGTTTGTGATTCTCAGTGTCTTATTTGAGGGGTAGTTATATAAAGCTATAGAGATGTCAAGGCAAGAAGACAGTTAAGAGCATTTATTTTGTCCGGTGTCATCTAGACCCAGCAAGATGGACTGCTCATGCAAGGTCATGTATTAGACGGCAGGGAAAAGTGGGTTTCTTGTGAGCTTTTCATTCAACCCAAAAATTCCTTTGAGCTGAAGCCATTAGACTGAACACAGAAGTGAACTGATACCCTTTATTTGGAAGCTTAGCAAATGTCCTGCTATACACACATCTTCAGTTAACCTCTGATACAATGATTGAAATTAGGACTGTATTTTTTTTAGAGAATAATATTATACAAGCATGTGTGTGCATATGCAGGTGCCTACAGAGGTCGGAAAATGGCACTAGGTTCCCTGGACCTGAAGTTGCAGGCAGTTGTGATGGGTGCTGGGATAGATGGGAACTGAATTCCAGTCCTTTGTGAGAACAGCAAGTTCTCTTAATGGCTGAGCAATCTTTCTAGCTATTTCTTTATTAAAAGTGTTTATTAATTTCTTGTATTATTATCAGTATATTAAAGAAATGGTTGATACTTATCACCTAAATGATATTTTTGCTTTAATTAAAATTTTAGCAAATCAGGACTTATTACTCTTTGAGTCCTGTTTCTTTTTATTTTATTTTTGACTGGTCATCAAATGCATGCATTCATAGCATGTGACATGATGCTTTGATATATGTAATGATATAAGCTCAGGTAATTAGCATGTACATTATCTTGAACATTTATCATTACTCTGTGGTAATAATTTTATCTTTCTAAAAAGATGGGATACATCTTGTTAACTATGGTCGCTCTACTGTGCAGTAGAAGATCGGGATCTGTTCTGTGACTATCTTCCTGCTCTGCAAGATCTGCTTACCTCCCCTCCCCTTGCCCATGCCCCATCCTCTAATGGCCCCTATTCTCCTATCTCTATCTGACCCACATTTTTAAGTTTAGACACCAATGAGAGCTTGCAGTATTTGTCCTCTCCCTTTGAATTTCAGAGTCCTTTTGAAATACAAACATGGAGGAATATGCTAGTCTTCTTTGGAAGCAGAAACAAGCTGTTTAGAATATCCCATCCATAAAAGGAAGCAACAGGATGTAGGAGTGTGAACAGATTCTTTCCTAGGGATCTGGACAAGATCTAATACTAGAAGCACCATTTGGCTTTTCCTGTGTCTTCTTGTTTTGGGAGATTAGCAGCTGCACATTTGCTACTTCACTGCATGGGGCCATCCTAGAATCCCAGAGTAATCTAGAGAGACAAGTGAGATTTTGTCAAGGTTCTGTCATTTACCTGAAGCAAAGGAGATGAGGCCTCAAGTCAATACCTAATAAATGGATGATTCAGAGAGAGAACATAGCCCAGTCCTGCCTCTGCATGTCAATGCGCTTGTGGTGCTCTTAAATGCCCAGTTGTAAGCTCTAGAAAATGGGGAATCAATGGAGAAAGAATCATTAAATTGCTTAAAACAAACATAAAAGAGTGACCAATACACTGTTTACATTGTGAGAAGACACCTTGTCTGAGGATCATAGTAAAATATGACCACATGTAATTCCAACGTAACAGATGAAAAGTCTAATTGCTTTATTAATGTGAAGGGTCTGTGGAGGATGGATGAGGGGAGGAATATCGAGATTGGTGAGGGCTGTTATAACCTCGGCAGGGAATGATGAGGTGGAAAGGTGGTCATGTGTGCGTGTGTTGTGGAAGAGACCAGACTGTTTGATGAATAGAAAATGAATGGAACTGGAGGTGCAACCTGCAGATCATGAGACTGGAACAACTGGATTTGAGAAGGGAGTAGACAGCATTTCTCTCTAAACCACAGCGCAGACCTGGACTCTCCCCTGCTATGATAATTTTGTTATTAACACAGAAAAGTAGAAGAGCATTGGTCAGCCCCAGGTTTAGGATAACAATGATCAGAGGATCTCTATAAAATGTCAACAAAACAAAGCATTGCTCTTTCATTTCAAACAGCGGGGCAAAATGTTTATCCTGTGTCTGTTCACAAGTGTAGTCTGTGCAAATGAAGGGAGCCTGATTTACTCAGCGATCTGTTATAGTTACGTCTATCAAATATGTATTGAAATGAAAATAACTGGGTTTTGTGTATTGTTAACTTTAAAATTGGGGCATTGTATGTACAAAACTTAAAAGAATATGAGTAAAATTGTGCAAGTACACAGAAAATCTTCAGGTTAACTATCCACACTGGGGCTTCATGTGTACGCTGGATTTTATTGGATTTTTTTCTCTCCAAGACTTCCAATATTGTGCTATGTGACTGAGAAAAACAATGGTCTTGCTTCTTGCCAGTGCGATTCAAAGACAAGTGCTGCAGGGAATATATCACCTTTTCAGTCACACAGTTGAGAAGGGATGCCACACACCTAGAGAATCGATTTGGAATGGAAATTTGAAAATGTGAAGAAAAACGTGTGCTTTTCATTTTAACTATTTAGTAAACTCTTTCTACACAATTTGAGGGCAAAACACAAGAAAGGCTGCTCAAAAGATAGTTGATATATATAATATATTCATATTGCTTATTGGATAGTTGGTATATATAATATATTCATATTGCTTATTATTTACACACACACACATACACACATACACACACACACACACACACACACACACACACACACATATATATATATATATATATATAAAGGCAGGCAGCTGCTTGCACAAATTTGTGCTCCTAGTCTCAGAGAAACAGAAAAATTGTGAGATATTTGGTCATTTTAAATATGTTTCTGCTCAAGAAACCACTTGCTCATTTCTATAATGAACAAGAAACTAGAGATATAAATCTTTATAACTTTCCCTCCTTTTTTGGTTCTCACTTCAGGGGTCATGATATACTGAAAACCACACAAGATAAATCTGGGGAGGCAGGAAACCATAAAGACCACGTTCAGACCGTAAGGATAAAGGTAGGTAAACTGTCCTGTTAATCCCTGTGTTGAGGTGTCACAGGATGTATCTTTATTCTTCTAAAGTCGGAGGGCAGTGAAGAAAGGGGCAGGTGAGATGGCTCCAGATCAGAAAGTTACTCAGGATTGTCCAGTCAGTTTTCTAGTGACATTGTAGCAAACACTACACACCCAATACACACTAGACACAGTACATTTCCATCTGCTGTCTTCTGGGGGCCTGAGAAAGGCAATAGAGAAAGGATATGTTTTGGTGTTTCTGTTCTTTTTAGCCGGGCCTCTTTAAATTGCTCTCAGTGAAGGCCAATGGCCCATTAAACTCTTTTAAGATTCCAGTCTTTAACTTTGGAGAGAAATCCTTTATAGTAATTATTACTCTTTTCGGAAATATTTACCTAAGATAGCATAGTAAACAATGCATGCGAACGTTTTGTTTTGTTGAGACAGGGTGTTGCTATGTAACCTGGATTGTCTTGAACAGTCAGCTCAGGCCTCAGCCTTGCAAATGTTAGGATTACATAAGTGTTTTCAAGGAAATACTTTTGATGGTGAGGACTGGTGGACATACAACTCAGATTAATGCATTTTTAATGATAGGAAAGCAATATTTTTAAACTAATTATTTATATGTATCTCTCTATATAAATAGATATACACACAAGTAAGATGTGTACTTGACATATGTGTTGAAAATTGAGGCCACCTTCAAGTTGCAATCTTAATGGTATTTTACAGTGGGGGAATTAGCCTGAAGGCCTCTTTCTCCCTCACTTCTGTGTCCCGCCCTCTGGAGTGAGAAATTTGCTCCTCCATCACAGGTGAGATAAGGGATGAGGAGAACACAGCATAAGTTTCAGCTGGGCAAGGGCTCCAGTATTCTCCCCCTCTCAGATCTCCAGGAGAACATAACAGTAAGGGAGCATGAACAAGCAGATGATCCTGCATGGGGCTTGGGCTCTTTGCCTGGGCTTCCAGAGACAAGTGTGCACTTCCTTTTCACCCACTGAGATTTAGACAGTGGCAATGGGTTCTATATCTTATTGGAACATTTTTACTTTAATACCAACTTTTAAACTTGTCAATGAAGAATAACAGCTTCATTGAAATTTACCTTTTAGAAGGGAATGATTTCAGTAAAATAATTTTAGGGAAAACAGATTTCTACAGGAGTCATTCCTATTCTTTATACTGGGGGAAAATCATGAACAAAGTTACAAATGCTTGCTTTGCCCTTGAGAACAACTAAAATTGATATGTAAGATAATTACTGGGTCAGTGTGGTGGGCTGAATGCTCAGGACTTATAAGCAGAATCCACATAATTCTCACGACAGCTCTGGGAGGAGGTGAAGGAGGTTGTTCCCATCTGTGATGAAAGCTGGCTGACTGGCCAACTGCACAGATTTAGCCAGTGGGTGGTGAAGTTGGATAGGAGTCTAATTCCGTCTGCTGTTAAACCCATGTCCTTGACCAGCGTGGAGAGCAGAAGCTGAGGTACTGTCTTTAGAGGAAGGCAGCATCTCACGAGCATCACACGTTTAGCCTCCGCATTGAAACACACTCCTAAGGAGCACAGGTCTCTCGACTCAGTGATGTCTGTGGTGGAAATAGCACATTTTACAGATTCATTTTCATAACAAAACACTAAACTTCATAACCCTCTCAAAAAGTAATTAAAAGCATAGCATAACAAGAGAATTTCAAAATATTAGCTAAAGAAATTAGAAATCAGCAACAAAGCAATACAGTGAGTGTATGTGTAGCTGGAATGGGATGGTGGTGAAAGTTGGAAATTTTATTTAAATAATTTTATACCAATAGACCAAAGAATAATACCTACACTCTTGATTTTCTAACAGATTCCAAATGTTTATTTAAAAAACACACATATGTATATCACTTAGTAAGCAAGGATAGCAAAAGTTAAAGTATAAGAAAAATCTCAAGAAATCAGAAAAACTCTATGGGTTAATTGTATGGCATGTTTGATCACCTGAACTTTATTTCATTTTAGAAATTCTAATGGATAAAATAGAAAGAGAAATACCTATTGTCTGTGTTAGGAACAATTTCAAGTTCCTTACAGTAATTTTAAAAAGATGTTTAACTTCCAGGTGGTACTAGTAACTATTGTTTTTATTGAGAACCAGAGAAGTGGAATAAGTTGGCCAAGTTCACACAGACAATAAGTACACAAACTGAATTAGTACTCAAGTGGATTAACATATGAATGAGTCTTTGGTCTTAAATACCATAGATTGTTGTCTCTTAATAGTTTTAATTTTGAAAAGTTGCAATTATTATAGAAAAGATGACATAATAAAGAGTATCGGAATAAAAGGGTACAATTACTTAGGGATAAAAAAGCTAATGGTAAGCCGGGTGGTGGTGGCGTGCACCTTTAATCCCAGCACTCGGGAGGCAGAGGCAGGCAGATCTCTGGGAGTTCGAGGCCAGCTTGGTCTACAAGAGCTAGTTCCGGGACAGGCACCAAAGCTACAGAGAAACCCTGTCTTGAAAAAAAAACCAAAAAAAAAAAAAAAAAAAGCTAATGGTATACATCAGTTTGTCTTTCCACAATAAATGTTCAGTATGGTAAAATAATTGCATTTATACAGTCAGGAATACCTACAGATAGCTGTGTAGATACAACATAAGCATTAAATGAAGACAATAACAATAGAATAAGAAACAAAAGAAGGGAGTGGTGAACAATGTTTATATTGAAATCCGGGAAAGAATAATAAATGTATAAGTGTCATCTTCTCCATATTAACTTATGAACTTATTATAACTTAACTTGCAACCTCAAAAATTGGAGGAAAACTTGCCATTAAAATTGAAGAAAGATTGACCTGAGAAAAGTAAAATTTTGGAAAAAGAAGGAGTAATTTAAGAACTTGTCATTTCTGAATACTAAAACATGTTAAAAGGTTATACTTAAAACAGTGTGCTACTTTTTTTCCACTAATGTAGAAATTTAAAGGTCCAGTGATTGTTTGAATGAGAAATATCCCCCATAGGCTCCTGTAGTGGAATGCTTGCTCTCCAGATGGTAGCACTCTTTGGAGAGGCTATGGAATCTTTAGGAGATGCACCCTTGTTGCAGGGAGTGCATCACTGAGGAGTGGACTTTGAAGATTTATAGCCATTCCTCGCTTTCAGTTTGTTCTTTACTTCCTGTGTGCAGCTGTGACATGACCAGTTAGCTTCCGGTTGCTCCTGCTTGCCATACCTGTTTGATGTTATGTTCTTCCTATCACTGTGGGCTCTATCCTTCTGGAACTGTAAATCCGAGGAATCAAGAGCTGAAGAGTGATAGGCTTAATTGTATTAAAACTTCCTTATAGGTTAATGAACAAGAGACACAAACAACATTGACCCTAACAATGAATTTGTTTTATTTTTTGAGAGTAGAATTAATGAATCAGTTAAATTCTGACTAACATTCCAAAAATATGATTGTTTAAAGGTTTAATAAAGCTGAGAACTATGGGTGAGTTGTTTTCTTAACCTCTGCAGCATAGATAGTCATGGACACTGTCAAAGAATGAATGTTATGCCATAATATGACATGATTTACTATCATATTTATGTAATATATTTTCACACACACATACGCACACACACACACACTATATATATATATATATATATATATATATATATTAGTGAAAAGTATTGACAGCATTATAGAAAAGTTCAAGCAACAACTTGGAAGAGCAGCAACTTTCCATCAAAAGACCAACTAAATTTGAGATACCGTAGTCACAAAAGTGGAGGGTTTTAAGTAGACATTTTTATAATGCTTGCACGTCAGTGCATATTTCAGAAATCATTTGCAACATCTTTGAATAATTCAAGTTTTGTTCATGTGAAAATGTATCATCAGTAGTAAAAATGAAATCCCTCAGTTAGTCAAATGCAGTAGATAATAGCAGTGGAGCGACAAGATGATAACATTTGAAGAAAAATGTTCCCAGTTTGATTATTGTGAAGTACAGTGCAACAAAGTTGGCTATTTCACCTCTATCTGGAGTATCTCTTTTTTTTTTTCAAATACTGGGGCCACAAAGCAAATGTCAAAGGGAAATTCATCATCATCAACACGCACTAAAGATCTTTTTAGTACCTTAGGGCTTAGAGGGGAAAAACACTTGCCACACAAGCTGGAGAATTTGAGTTCATTCTCTAGAAGCCACAGTGAGAAGAGGGAAATGGCTCATGGAAGTAGTCTTCTGGCCTCTGTCCACGTGCCATGGCATATGTGTACACGTGTGTATCTTCCCAAACAATAATTAAATTAAAAGTAAAAAGACAAATTGATAAAACCTTTAATTTTTGTGAAATGTAACAAGTAATGGCAGCCTGTACTGTTACAACCAGTTGGCACAAAGATTTAAAAAAGGAACACATTTTTGCCTGAGGTTCTGTTGGCATAATTACTGAGTTCTGGAAAGAGATCAGATTTGCTGTGATCTTTTACATCTTTCTGGTTGGATCCACGTCTCTGAGCAAGGCAATTGTTCTTGGCTACTGTTGTTCTCCCTGAAGACATGCATGCTGATCCATGTCCTGCCAGCTCTCTCTCAGCGGAATGGACTTCTCATTTCGCTCATCTGTACTGTTCTTTTGTTTATAGATTTAAATTATGCCATATTGTATATTCAGCCATCTCCCCTCACCTTTCTCCAGTGGTCATTGTACCTAACTTGAATTTGATAATTCCGTTATTTTTATCTATCAACACTAGAGTGTTTCTTTTTGGTCTGACATGGCTTGTCATCAAGAAAGTTTTGCTTTTAGAATTTGGCCAACAACCTTCTTATGTAGTCTTCTAGAAGGACTTTTAGATACTCTGAAAATCACATCCTAGGAAGATATGTCCTACTGGCTCAGAAAACATGCTTGGAAATGTCTGAATCTACATGAAGGGAATACATTATGACTGGCTCTGCAAGACTCTTTTTGAGCACACATGGTTTCTTTTGTTTATTTAAA